CTCTAAATTTTGTTTTTTCTAAAAGATAATTTACTTATACAGATTTAATGGTACTACTTACATCATAAACCTTGAACGTGAGGTTTCGTTCCAAATATTTTACTATCCATAAATAATAGGTGATTGTCTACTAAGAATTTGAATTTAAGTATTTTCGATTTAAAATTTGTAGAAATGTAAGATACTACAACCGTTCAGTTAAGTCAAAAGAGTCACCCAAGTCACAATACTCACAAGATATACAAATTCTAAAGTTGGAAATACCATTGGACGGAGGTCTTAATCAGATTGGAATTAGATGAATTTTGGTACCGATATAGATAACTGAGTTACCATTCTAATGGAGTTGGTTTTAAGTCATTTGGAGTTGTAGCTGAAAACTTACACTTCTTTTACTAAAGATATGACTGCATGACTCGAAGAATAAAGTAGCGCTAAAACATTGGATACGGCATTGATCGAACAGGGAGGTGTTGATCGATCTGATATGTTATTTATAGGTGAGATCCTCATCTATTTTGTGATAAAATATGAGTTTATGGTTTTGGGAAAACCAACTTCGTTCAATTTATAAAATTTAGATTCGGCGCAGAAAATATCGAAAGAACCTAGGGTTTTGGGAAAACTGACATATACTTATGGACCATGAAAAAATATCGAATAGAATCCAATACATTGAACAAAGCACAATAAAATATAATCATGGCCGTAATAACAAAAAAAATAAAAGTTCGGAACTTCCACGATATAACCCAAAAAAAAAACAAGAAAATCATCATATAATTAGAACGCAAAGAAGGAACCAAAGACAATTTATGTCCAAAAATTCTGTGGCACAACATTTGAATACAAGGATTCTGTAAGGGTATAAACGTTAAAAAAAGTAGTGAGACATAACCTCGAATTGACACGTCGGAAATCGCACTTTACGTTTAATAGAATGATTACAAAAAAAAACTAATTATTTGAAATATATGGTAAAATTAATTGTAAAATACATAGCAAAACATCAAAATAAATAATTAAATGTTGTCTCTTAATCAGTGTATCGCATCAACGTTTTCAATTTTCTTTTATTTACTTTGACTGATGATATAATTTTGTCCCTACTATAGGCATAAACACTTGTATTTGTATCCGACCGCTATCTATAATATTACCTGATGTTTGCATCCGTAATAAACATGCCTAGAGCAAAATCCAGAATTAGCTAAAACTCTTGTCTATTTTCGCTGTTTCATTTCATAACAAACACACACTTTGGTAGCTGGTGTGATGGAGAAGAGAAGCATTAAAACAGCCTGTAAAGATTTACACAGCTCGAGTTTTAGTTAAGTAGTGATAATGATGAAGTAACGAGAAAAGGGTGAAAAAGTTGAGACCTTTCGTTGTTTTACAGAGAGGAAAAAAAAACACTATTTTTCTTCCCTTTACGGATGTACATCTGATCTCAAGTGGTTGGTCTCGTTCCTTTTCTCGTCCCGATCAAGATCCTTCTCTTAAAGTCTCCCCAAAAAGTCCCTTCCTTTCTTTCTTCGACCCAGAGATGTAAGTAGCTATCTTCTGCTTTAATTTTAATCATCTGAATCTTTTTTGGATCGAATTAGTCAAATATCCGCGTCTGGGTCTTTCTCGAATCGATGTCTTTGTCATGACTAGTTCTGATTTGATCATGTTTTGATTGATGTGCTAAGTGGTTCTGAGTTGATTAGGTCCATTTTATCATGTACAAGTTGAAAATGGATTCTGTATTGATTCAAAGCTAGCTTCTTTATGGATTTGGTGACCTCGATTTTGAGTATAGAGGTAAGATTGATTGATGTTGTTTTCTTTGCAGAGCAGAGAGAGATCATGGGTACATACCTAAGTTCTCCTAAAACTGATAAGTTATCAGAAGATGGTGAGAATGATAAGCTCAGATATGGTTTATCTTCTATGCAAGGTTGGCGCGCCACCATGGAAGATGCGGTGAGTCAAAACATTACTATCGATTCGATCATATGAAACTTTCTTCAAGTTGAAGATCTTGGTGGCTGATTCCATATCTTTGTACTATAATTGGATTAATTTTGCTAGCATGCTGCAATTCTTGATCTGGATAATAAGACATCGTTCTTCGGTGTGTACGATGGCCATGGAGGTAAGGAACTAATGACTCTACTCCTAAATCATAATCTAGTAGACTAGTACAAGTTAAACATCGTTCTTCGGTGTGTACGATAATGCTAAATCAAGTACAATATAAGAGATATACTTGAGATGGTTCTTGACTGTTTTAAAGAGTGAGAACTTTTGCTTAAATCTGTGTGTATACCTCAGGTATATTTTTCGATGTTTCGCTCTTTACATGCTTTTTGGATATGGAACTCATAGTACTCTTTGCTAAGTGGTGTAGGTAAAGTTGTTGCAAAGTTCTGTGCCAAGTATCTACACCAGCAAGTTCGCAGTAATGAAGCATATGAAGCTGGAGACATTGAAACATCTCTTCAAAGAGCATTTTTTAGGTTTGTTTTCTCTTTAGTTTTCTTGTATACTCGAAAAGAGGGATTAGCTTAAAAGTGTTCATTTTGAATCTTGTAGAATGGATGACATGATGCAAGGACAGAGAGGATGGCGAGAATTAGCTGTACTTGGTGATAAGATGAATAAATTTAGTGGCATGATAGAAGGATTTATATGGTCACCAAGAAGCGGTGACAACAATAATCAGCCCGATACTTGGCCTCTTGAGGATGTAAATTTTTTAATATACCGGCTCTAATGTTTGCTATTTCTTTAGTCTGGCTTCGTTCGTTTTCAAACTCGTGCCTTTGTTCTTATACAGGGTCCTCATTCTGATTTCGCGGGACCTACTTCCGGGTGCACAGCATGTGTAGCTCTTATTAAAGATAAGAAGCTCTATGTTGCAAATGCCGGTGACTCACGTTGTGTGATTTCAAGGAAGGGTCAGGCTTACAATCTTTCTAGAGATCACAAGCCTGATCTTGAAGAAGAAAAAGATAGGATACTGAAAGCTGGTGGTTTTATTCATGCTGGGCGAATCAATGGAAGCTTGAATCTGACGAGAGCCATTGGTTAGCTTTTTTCTTCCACTTTCATTCCTAGGAGCTTCAGTTTTTACTCGTAATCTTTGATTATAACATCGTTTCTGCTTCTCTACAGGCGACATGGAATTCAAGCAGAATAAGTTTTTACCATCTGAAAAGCAAATGGTGACTGCCAATCCAGATATAAACGCTGTAAGAATCTAAAAATTTTAGCATTTTGTGCTCGATTTGGTGTTTTAAGCTGACTTGTTATTCTTTCCTCTCATCAGGTTGAACTATGTGATGATGATGAGTTTCTTGTGGTCGCATGCGATGGAATCTGGTAAAACAAATCCCTAATTGTTTCAGTTTTTAACTAGAGGTTAGTTTCTTGGTGATAATTTGATTTGATCTCATATTCCTCAGGGATTGTATGTCAAGTCAGCAACTGGTGGATTTTATCCAAGAACAGTTAAACTCTGTAAGTTAAACCCGTAGCCGTGTCCTCCTCTTCTCTTTATTACGGTATTTTGTCCTGTCTGGGTATGTGACATTGGTTAAAACATTCAGGAAACAAAACTTTCAACGATATGCGAAAAAGTTGTTGATAGATGTTTGGCTCCAGACACTGCGAGTGGCGAAGGTTGTGATAATATGACCATCATCTTGATTCAGTTCA